TGTACTTATCGGTTAAATAATTAATTGTTTAACCTTTCACATCCCTGCTCTCCTACAACTGGGAGCCCCATCAGCTGACAGGACTCCCAGCCATAGGGGTGCACCATACCCAGTGGGAAGCCTGTGGTTCTGGGGAATCTTGGAAGCTGCAATCCCTGAAGTTTGAGGACTGCAGTGTGAAACCCATGGGCCCACAGGTGCAGCTGGGACCAAGAGCCTCATCAGGTGAGGGACTCTCAGTTCTGCCTGAACATGTGGCATAGCCAGGACTGAGAGCCCTTCCAGGTGCGGGACTCTAAGACCTAGCTATGCATGGTCCCTATGGCTGGGAGCCCCCCAGCAAGGGGGCTCCCAGTGACAGGAGCCTGCTTCTTGCCTTCTACATCAACAGTAAGGCACGATTGGATCTAATATGCAATCCTACAATCGTGCCTCCTGCCATGCATGTGTAGCTACAGTGTGGCTCACACATTAGATCCAATCGTGCCTTTACCTGCGTATGTAGATGGGGTCAAATAGCCTACAGTAATGGTAGAACAGGTTAGGAATTACTTAGAGAGTCTAGATGCTTTCAAATGAGCAGGGCCAGATGGGATGCACCTAAGGGTATTAAAGGAACTGGCTGACATAATTCAGAGCCATTGGCTATCCTTTGTGATAACTCATGGAGGTCAGATGAGGTCCTGAATGACTGGAAAAGGGCAAATATAGTGCCCATCATTAAGAATGGGAAGGAGTAGGATCTGGGCAACTACAGAGCAGTCAGCTTGACCTCTATACCTGGGAAGATCATGGAGCAGGTCCTATAGTTAAAAGATTCTGTGTGAAGCACCTATGGGAGATTAGGAACAGTCAGCATGGATTCACCAAGAGCAAGTCATGCCTGATCAATCTGATTTCCTCCTATGACAAAGGGACAGGGTCTGTGGATGAAGGGAGAGCAGTGGACATGATATACCTTGACTTTAGTAAACATTTTGACACTATCTTCCATGTCATTCTCATTAACAATTTAAGGAAATATAGACTAGATAAAAGTACTGTACAGTGGATACATAACTGGCTGGATCATTGTATTGAGCTGGTAGCCCTCAATGGGTCAACATCTAGTTGGGAGGATGTATCAAGTAGGGTCCTTCAGGGGTCTGTCCTGGGTCTGGGATTGTTCAACATCTTCACTAATGATTTGTATAGTGGGAATCAGTGCATGCTTAGCATATTTGCTAAGTTGAGGGGAATTGCACACACTCCAGAGGGTAAGACTAGGATCCATAATGACCTGGATAGACTGAAGAAATAGTCCACCATCAGTCAGATAAAATTCATCAAGGACAAGCTTTGCACTTGGGTTGGAATAACAACATGCACAAATACAGACTGGGAAATTACTGGCTAGGTTGCTAGAAAGACCTGGGAGTTATGGTGGAACATTAACTGAATGAGCCAACAGCATCTCTTGTTCCAAAAATTCCAGCAGCATCCTTGGTTGTATTAACAGAAACATCATCTGCAAATCAAAGGAAGTGATTGTTCCACTCTATTCATCACTGGTGAAGCCTTACTTGGAATACTGTGTTCAGTTGTGGGGCCCACAATTCAAGAAGGATGTGGGCAGTTTGTAAAGAGTCCAGTGCAAGGCAACAAAAATTATCAGAGGCCTGGGAGACCAGACTTATGAAGAAAGGCCAAAAGAATGATGATTATTTATCCTGGAGAAGAGACGGCTGAAGGGGTATTTGATAACCATCTTCAAGTACCTGAAGGGTATTACTGAGAGGATGAAGATGGGCTTTTCTCTGTAGCTGTAGGGGACAGGATTAGGAGCAAAGGATTCAAACTGCAGCATGGGAAATCTAGGCTAGAAATTAGGAAGAACTTTCTGATTATGAAGGTGGTCAGGCAATGAAACAGGCTACTTAGGGAATCTCCATCCCTGGAACTTTCAAAAGCACGTTAGATGGACACTTGGCAGAATGGTTTAGTCAGGAATGATCCTACCTTGAGCAGGGGGCTGAACTTGTGAGTACCGTTCCTGCCCTACTTTCCTGTGATCCTAGATGGAGGTTTAAACTCCCTCAGGGCAAGTGGTGGGGCCTAGAACCTGAGTCTCTTGCTTCCAGGGTGAGTTCCCTAGCCACTAGGATATTGGCTTAAAATATGAGAGGCCTCACTTTTGCCCTTCACCTCCTCCTGCACCTCACTAGTTACAGCTTTTTGCCCAGCTACAATTTCAGGACTTTGTACACACTTACATAGGTGAGCACAAGCCGCATATATGCCTGGTCAGAGTGCAACCTATCATGCATGTTCAGTAGTCATGAGGATGTTCACTCATCCATGATACATTTGAAATAGGATTGGAAACTGCATGCAAGTATCAAAAACAGCATTCATGCAGCTGGGTAAGTGCCATTTGGACACACAAAGTGAAACAGAATGTTGCCTATAATGTTCTCAGGAGGGAGCTGAGGTGCTCCGCTACATCAGTTGGGCTTTTTCCACTACATCACTTCTTTTCTATCCCATTTCTTTATGGGATGCATTCACTTTGCACAGCCATTGAAAGCTGGATTGGTTCTTTTGCTTTACTGTGCACTGTAGATCTGTTTTTAGAATAAACTTGCCTCACTGATGCATTACTAAATAAACTTGCCTCACTTAAGAGTTTGTTTCCCAGAGACTTCTGGGGGAGTTATAATCACCCACTGCATTTTCAAAATTATGACATGAAAAATACGTGGATACAAATAGGTCTAACCCCTGGCTGCTCCATATCTCAAACTGATTGCAAAACACATGAATTATCAGTGTAAAAAGCAATTTTTTGTCCTTTTACCACAGACAATTCTGTGAACAAGCATCAGTCAGAGAGAGAGTTATAAATGACTTTTCTATGAGGTTTCTTGTATAATACCTGAACATCAAGCAACACCACAACTCTAAGATAGAAAAATATTACCATTTTATTCATATGGAATAAAGGTCCAGAGATCAAGTGGTTTAATTAGGACAACATCTGGATGATGTTTGCTAGGATAATTTACCATGCCCAGTGGCAGTACCCTGAAACATGCCTTGCCGCTCCATACAGCGTACCTCCTATGCCAGAAGCAATGCAGACTCTTGTCTGCATGGTGTCACAGATAGACAAACATGGGTGTGGGCTAAGCAATTCAGCAGCCTACCTGAAGCACTGCAGCCTACTTGAAGCACTGCACAAATGCAACTACACTCCTTCTAGTTTAGAAAGTAATTTGTTGGGAAGTCTTGTCCATAGGGAGCTATGGTACAGCTGGGAATCAGATTGAAAACTGCAGTCAGGAATCTACTTGTGGCTAGGACAGGAGTAATACATTCTGTGACCCTAGACAGAAGGCAGTCCTGAGACTTTACCTTATGCTGTGGTCCTCAACTTGGAGTGGTGATAGGAGAAGGTCTCACCTTTCAACTTCCAGAGGCAGGGGTGTGGCATGAAATACCCCTTTTCCCCTTTAGGATGGCTACAAGGAATGTTCCCACCCCTCAGAAGCACAGGGGTTGCTCAGAGAGCAACGGTGGCAGAAGGAAGGGGCTCGCTAAGGACCACAATAATTGAGATTTATCAGTTTGGGTACGTAGGCTGGTTAGGCCTAATGTAGTCCTTTCCATACAGAGTCCTCTGCTAGGGTGAAGTTGGTAGGATTCCCAGGTTAGGTAACAGAGCTAACACATAATTTAGATGCATGGGAATGTTTACGCTTCTCAAGTGTATATTTCTAGGCTACCTGAAGACATAAGCCTGGGTCATGCTTTGAAGCTTTTTGTCCCAACCACAAGGCCTAGCTACTCATGATTTAAAAAAAGAAAGAAAGTTTAGCTCCTGGTGTACTCATGAGATTACAGCAGACAAGACAGCTCTAAGCATGGTCCCAGAGCCCCTATGCATTCTCCTATCCTTGTTTCATGACTAAAATGGTGACTAGCTGCATCTCCTTAGGCAAGTCGAGTACTGGAGTGCTGCGTCCAGTTTTGGGCCCCACAATTCAAAAAGGATGTGGAGAAGCTTGAGAGAGTCCAGAGAAGAGCCACGTGCATGATCAGAGGTCAGGAAAACAGACCTTACGACGACAGGCTGAGAGCTATGGGGCACTTTAGCCTGGAAAAGCGCAGGCTCAGGGGTGATCTGATGGCCACCTATAAGTTTGTCAGGGGTGACCATCAGTATCTAGGGGAACATTTGTTGATCAGCGCGCCCCAAGGGATGATGAGGTCGAATAGTTATAAACTACTGCAAGACCGTTTCAGGCTGGACATAAGGAAGAATTTCTTTACTGTCCAAGCCCCCAAGGTCTGGAATAGTCTGCCATCGGAGGTGGTTCAAGCACCTACATTGAACACTTTCAAGAAAAAATTGGATGCTTATCTTGCTGGGATTCTATGACCCCAGCTGACTTTCTGCCCTTCGTGCGGGGGGCTGGACTCGATGATCTTCCAAGGTCCCTTCCAGCCCTAATGTCTATGAAATCTATGAAGTCATTTCTCATCTTTCTGTATCCCTTCCCTTTTTGTCCATTTAAATCATGAGTACTTTAGAACAAGGACTATCTTAGCATTGGTACACTGCACAACATAGTGGGGCTCCTGATCTAGCTACGGATTTGTAGGATCTACTATAACACAAATAATAATTAAATAATACATTGACAAATAAGGCATTCCAGTGCCATCCTGTAAGGCCATCCATCTTCTGTTTAGCTTGTCTGTTTTGTGAAAATCTGATTATTAAGCATGAAGTGATACTTCTTTCTGTTTACAGTTTTAAGGGTAAACCATGTTCCCTTCTCTGTGGTACATTAACTAGACACAGGTCCAAACCAAAACCCTGGATCCAAACACCCTCTGACATTTGAGAAGTTTTGAATCTGCATCCTTGCTACTCAGACCTAGCTCCAATTCTAATCATGGTTACTGCTTCCTGGGAGGTCTAATTTGAAATGGATTGAGATCAACATTACACTTACCCAAGGATGTGTTCACACAGGAGTCTGCAGTAGTCGCTGTGGGAGCTGGTAATTAATAGCAGGACCTTCCCTGCATTTTTCAGTTGTCTTAGCCATTTTTTCACTGACTCAGGACATCTTTGTAAATATTTTCCTGGATCATTTTTCACTTCTGGGAAATATGTCCCACAGTTTTCTAAAAAAGAAAAATACAATCTCTATCATCCAATAATATTCACAACCCATGCTGTAAACACAAAACAATTTCTTCTACCCCATATGCAACCAAAAAATGTAAATGACTATATTAATATAATATAAAAAAGGCAGATAAAATGTAAGAAGTTTTACAAGGCTAAGATTTTAATTCAAACAAAAATGGAAAAAAATGAATGGGACATGTAATAGCAGAAAAATGTATATAATGGTCTCTCTCTCATTAAATTCTTTTCACAGCTATTATATTTCCCATATTTTTAGATCTTTCTACTTGTAAAATATTTTTGGACTCTGAGTTATATTCCTAAGATATCACATCCTGTTGATTTGGAATGTCTAATCTTTGGGTGCTCAATTTGAGACCAAAAAATGGGCCTGTCTGTTAGGAAGTACTAAGATTCTGAGTCCTGAACATCAGAAACCTTTTGGATATCACTTTAGAAACTTTAAAACAGAGATGCACAAAATCATGAGTTACAGCTGAAGCAGCAGATAAACACCGGAGGATCTGTAACACAGTTATCTATCGAGGACATGATTTCATGATTTCTCAGATCTGTTCTTTAATGCGCCCATTATTTTATCTAATAAAGGCTGGTGTAGCAGACTGGCAGCAACCTACTGATGTACCTACATGCTGTTAAGAATGGGAAAACAAAAGTGGACTTTTTTTCTCAGTACAATCATTAATGGCCATCAGGGGCATAACAGGGACAGAATTTGGTCATTACAGGCTGTAACACAGAATCTGAGGCTCCCTGTTCTTTTAAGCAAAGCAGCAGTCTAGTGAGGGAGCACTGTAGGCTAGGCAGGATGTAGTAGCTGCAGGGCAATGAGGTTGATCAGCAGGCACCTGCAGGCAGCCAAGGCCCTGGGAGAATATAAGCCTGGGGCAAGCTAGACTAGTCTTGCCAGCTGCAGCATTAGGAGCTCGTGCCTGGGAGAGCTACCGAGGGACACTAGACTGTCTGCTTTGCTGCCAGCAGGAACAGTGAGGCTCATGGAGCTCACAAGGAGCCCAGGCTGGGAAGTATGCCAGCACCAAGGGGGAGGGAAGGTTTTCCCTCTTAAAGGTTAGGGACAGACATTCAAAAAGCTGGAGCCTGAATTTATTCAACCTTTGCAGGTTAGTCTAACCTGCCTAAATTGAACCAATTTGCAAGTGAATAGATCAGGGTTCGGGAACCCCCGGCACACGTGTCGCGCATGGCACGCAAAGCCATTTTGCTCAACACGCCACGGTCAGCCCCAGCTCTGGGTGGCTGCTGCCAGCGACAGAGCCTGGGCTGCTCCCAGCAGGTGGCTGGGAGGCTACAAGCCCTGCTGCAAGCAGACCAGGCTCCATGATTGGCAGCAGCTACGGAGAGCTGGGGCTAGCTGCAGCCGGGAGGCTGCAAACAGCTGTGCCAGGCTCCAGAGCCCTGGCATCAGCTCTGTACCGGCATGTGCATGTGTGCCTTGGAGCGGGCAGTGGGGGAGGGGCAGCGTAACCCCGGTCTCTTCCCTGCTCCTGGCACAGAGCTGGTGACTGGGCTCCAGAGCCCAGTGCAGCTGTTTGTAGCCAGCCTGGGCTTTGGGCAGCTGCAGCAAGCAGTGGACAGGCTGCAAACTGCTGCGCCGGGCTCCACAGCTCCGGCATCAGCTGCATGCTGGCGGCGACTGCATGCACATCTCAGGGTGGGCTGCACTGCCCTGCTGTCTGCCCCAAGGTGCGTGTGCAGTCGCTGCCAGTATGGAGCTGATGCTGGAGCTGTGGAGCCCAGCGCAGCTGTTTGCAGCCTGCCTGCTGCTGATAGCTCTGTGTAGCTGCTCTGTGTAGCTGCCGGTA